GTTTCCGAGGCAATCTCCTTCGATTCCGGTGAAAAGGTGCTAAGCTTTCGTCCGTCATATGACCAACATCCTCAGGGCAAGGTATCACCGTCACAACAAAACTTAATCTAACGAGTCAAGAAAACTCACCGGCAAATCCCTAAAAAGTGGTATATATCCTCTACATCTGGCCTCTTTGATCAAGTATAAAGTGATTTGGTTAGTTAAGGTCATTTGTCAACTTCGATGCTTGTGAGTCTGTCTGTCTCTGCATGTGTATGTGCCTGTTTGTGTTAGCTTATGCACGAAGACCGCAGTGATGGCTCAACGTAATTAGAACAGCAAAAAGGAGCGTCTGTTTTGACCATCAAGGTTTGATGGCCCCTATCTCCACATTTCTACACACATGTTATCACCATCACTTCGATTGCGCAAGGTCGGACACTCGTCTAGTTTTGTTGATGAGCCTTTTTTTATTCTTGGTCTCAATGCGAGAGAGAAAGAGTGAGCTAAAACTACAGATAAATGACTATGATTAGAACCGAGACAAGAAAAGACTAGTTGCGTCGTCTCCTTTTTGCAGGAGGCTCAGCTCCCTCTCTATCCTTCAGTCTATTAAATAAGCACAAGTAATTTTTACTTCGAATCTCTTCACCCAACACTTTCACTCGAAATGGAAGTAAGCTCAACAGTTTAGACGATAAACCAATCGAGTATGCATCTGACAAACAATTTATGTTCGAGATAATTTTTATTCCGGATCATTTTATCCAATCTAGCCATTAAGTGGATCATCCAAAGACATTTATCTTTCGTTCCATATGAACTTCATTTATAATTAAGTTGTGTTTTATTCATAGCTAACATAATTGGCCCTATAATTGGTTTCATACTCATTTCTATCTCTTTTAAAAAATCTTGATTTTGAGTCGGCGGATCTTAGGTTTTTAATGTTTTCCCTGCCCATACATAAGAGTGAGTATAAGCCGACTTAAAAACCAATAATAAGTCTTGTTTCACAGGCACTATACTCTTTTGAATAAGAAAATTCGTCACTCTTCGTCGCTCAGGAAGATGAAAAACTGATGGTGAATTTTTCCACAATGAGATTAATAGGCCTCACGGTGCAACTGAATTTGACTTAGCCTTGCTGCCAAAAAAGGTATTCCTGTCTCGGCTGGGCTGGACTGCAGTTTCGACCCGCCTGGGCCTATCTCATCAGCAATCCCAACTGAAATCGAACCCGAGTTGTGATAGTACAGCATATGATTTCGACATCTTTACCACTACGCCGTTAGTATAAGTCGGAAGAAATGAATTTCGGGGTGGCATATGTCTCTCTCATAATACATTTTATAGTGGGATTATTGTCAAAGCAAATATGTATCTGCTATTGTAGTCGACAGCACTACTTATACTCGTTTTGAGTAGGATATATCCAAATTATTTACTAATTGCCTCGACGTAATACTAAAAACGAACACCGGTGAATTTGTCGATTTTAATGGAGAATACATGGTGATGAACAAAATGTAAAATGTGATGTGGGAGAGGACTGGGTTGCTTTGAAAGTTGGTTCTATTCTGTGACCGACTAGCAATCGTGGCAATGTGGCATGGCGGTATGCATTTCGAAAATATACGCTGTACTACCGCAACTCTGGCTCCATTCCTATTGGGGGTGCTGTTGAGACAGACCCAGGCGAGGTTGAAACTGCAGTCCAGTCCAGCTGGAATGAGAATACCTTATGGAAGGCAGGGCTAATTGAAAAAATTTAATATCACTTTTTCAGCACCTTAAGCCATCAAAGTTGACTAATGTTCTAATCCCAAATATCTATTGATAGCCTCGTAATCCTACTCAGAACGAAAATTATACTATTTAACTTGTCCGTAAAAAAGCGATATTGTTATAGATAACCTATATATATATATATATGCTTATAATTATATAAATTTTTAGATATATTTCCCATTTTTTATTTATAATATCTTCTATCCATTATTAGATCGGCTTCTCCTCTGTCTGCTTTCAATACATTTTCATATTGAGCTTTTCCTAGCCCGGTTGATTGATTAAATATTATATTTAGAGACCTATCATGTTGATGCATTAGTATTATTGAAACCAAGCTTCTCTTTATACACTCGTCCTAGTCGGTTATTGCTACTGGTCTGTAAATCGTTTAACATTTACCATGATTCCCTTTGCCTCTGATATCTCAATTGTGTTGAGAAATTTTGATTTTACCTACCGAATTAAGGCATACATTTATTGCTTTTGGGGGCAATATTTCTTTTTTTCATATCCCTTTTCTTTTTTGCTTCAACCCATTACATTGGAATCTAGGCTCGTCGTAAAAAAATTAGTAGGATTTAACTTTCCTTATTTTATTACTCTTAACAAAGGGAGTTTTAACAAAATTTAAACATTTCTTATTAAAATCTTTTGAATGTAAAGAAGTTGAGAGATCAGACCAGATATCTATGTTCTTATTAATCGACTCGCTTAGTTTTATCCTAGTTTTATTCATATTATACACAAATTGCTAGTACGAACCCATCTAATAAAGCATTATGTGGTCACCTAAGGGCATGTATCGTTACATTACTCTTCCAAATTATATCGAGCTTCAGAGTCATCCTAAGTTTGTTAACGGTTTATCTGAGATTCGAAAAACAAACTTTACCCTTCCACTTCTGTCAAGCTTTTATTCACATATTATATAGTGTCCAAAGCTTATATTCCATTTGCGTAGAGCTGTAGGAAGGCTTTATGAATGTAATGTTCGCAATTTTTGACTTTTTCATACCTTCAGACTAAGAAGAAAAGCCTTTTGTTATTTGTGATTTAGAGTTCTGAGATCCATCCTTTTGTACTTGCTCTAGGATAGCGACAACGATGGCCAATTGAATGAATGGGACACGGATGACGACAATGATGGAATTCCTGGTGAGTAAAGTCAATTTTCCTCAATGACAGATCCCATCTCCCCACTGCTCCTGAAGTTTGACCTTATAACCGTCTAGGCTTGTCTTCTATTAAAAATATTTTTATGAAGCCTATTATTATTATTCACGAATTTATGGAAATTTTTAACCATTTATATATATATATATATCATTAATAGGTGGAAATGAACAAGCATCGTTGCTAATAACTAAAGATTTAGTGTGTACGAGGTTAGGCATTATTGGATGGGGAAAGAAGATATTTGACAAAATAACTTCATTCTAAAAACATTTTGAATGCCCTTATGCGCATCGGTAGTGCTGCTCTCTAATTATCCACAGTTTAAGGCCGACGCGCATAAACTCTCTAAAATGCATCCTTACAATTCTATATTTTTTTCATTTAAACTAAATATTCGTTGAGAGTATAGTTAGAAATTATCAAGCCTAACGTTGCTTGGTAGCTGATAGGAGAGCTTTTCAATAATGATATAAGGAAGCCTCATGATGTCATTGAGTGCCACACCATTTTGTTCTTCATGTCTACGAAGCGTCTTTTTGTTACAAAAAGACTTGGGTAAAGTGTTGAGCATAACGTGATACATAGTTTCAGTTTTATAATTGGGTTTGAGGCTACCGGTAGAACTGGTAGAAAAGGTATATTCACCTTATTTCGGTTAAGGTTATGAAGACCTGTTAGTTGAATTTTACAACAATCCGATGAGAAGGTCTCATTTTTTCATTGGACTTGCTTCCAGGCCGGTCTGGACTGCAGTTCCGACCTCGTATGGGCTTCATCAGTACCACCAACGGGTCTCGAGGCCAAAACGGCTGACCCTTTGAGAAAATAGGGTTGTGTGAAATTCAATGGAAATATGTGGCAACATCATACGATTACTTAAAAATGCAACTTTTAGTCCTTGATCCCGTTCGACGAAATAGAGTGAATACAGCTCTAATCTAGGATCTACCGAAAATAAGTAATATTGCCGATTGTAAATATGAAGAACAAGATGGTGTGGCCTTGACGAATGCTGTGGCAGATGACACGGGGCTAGATATGTTTCACAAGGTCTCCCTGATGCTTCGACCAAGTTTCAAGAATAAAGTCGAACCAACACTACTCCAGACTTGGTCTATAATTGCAAGAAACACGACAGAAGCCTTCTCTATCTTCGAGGTTATGGCACTTTACTGCACCCTGTCTTTCAGAGTTTGGTTTCTCTTTTATGATTAGCCTTGGCATTACAACTAAGCCTAAGTTGAATGAGCTGCTTACTTTGGCATGTGTTTTGTCTCGTATTGATATGACGAATACTGGGCTGCATAATGTAAGTGTGATGTAGAAACGTACTACCAAGCACTACTTTTAGTCAACTCCACAATTCCACTATACCATAATCTCAGCAGTTGACGGTTTCATCAACTGGAATGCGTGGAACTTCTAATGGGCTGGTGCTGACTTTGTAAACTCAAGTCTTTTAGTCTTCATTGACTGAGAACTGCAATACATCGTCATCATTATTCATCGGATTAACTCTGAAAGGGTTCGGAAAAATTGCTGCCTGCAGGCGACTCTTGGAGGACTGATTCTTTCTTCGATGGCTCACTAGAGTCTTTTGATTTAACCCCCACCAAAAGCTGAAACTACATAGGTACACTATTGTTTCCATTTTCACATGTAGATTCTGAGGATGAGGACTCGAATGGTGACGGCATCATCGATTGCCAGCCCCAAGACAGTGACGGCGACGGCATACCCGACCACTTGGACAATGATGATGATAATGATGGCATTCCAGACCATCTGGATCCGGATTCCCTCTCCTTCCTACTTTACAAAAATAAGCGTATGCTAGAAGTTATTCCAGGTAGGTTCGTCGCCCTTTGCTGGTAGAGCGCACCTATATCAAGAACGACAGGAGGTTAACTTTTTTGCTAATTTTCTGCTTCATAGAAGATTATCCATTGCACCATGTGGTAGTATTCGGAATTATCCATATCAAGCAAATTTATTTTCAGTCAGAAGTCTTGAAGTCGGCAACGGAAGTTCGAAGTAACTATTATAAATAAGAAATGTATTCGCCCAATTTCGTTTAAGGTGATCAAGGACTGGTAGAAGATGAATTTTCCCACAATGATATGAGTAGAGCTGATGTTTCCATTCAATTTCACATTGCCCTGCTTTCCCAAAAGTTGTTTCTCATCCCAACTGGAGTGAAGTCTTATCAACACCTGCAGCAGGAGTCGAACCGTGGCAGTCCAGAATGGGAGCTTGACACGCTAACCACTCGGCCACATTGACACGAGTGCCTTTGGGTCACAGGGCAAATGTGAATTTCAAGCAAGGCCATGGGGTGTTGATAAGACCGATGCGAGGTCGAAACTGAATTCCACTCTAGTCGCGATGAGAACAACTTTTGGGAAAGCAAGGCTATGTGAAATTCAATAGAAACGTCAGCTCTATTCATATCATTGTGGGAAACTGCTTCTTCTACTAGTCCTTGATCATCTTAAACGAAATTGGGTGAATACATCTCATATTATTGATTTACTGGTAGTCTCGAAGCGATACTTAAATGCGAAAAATATTATAAATAAATAAA